AGCTCAGGTCAAACTCCATAAGCACCAAAATAGCACTAAGGGCTTGCACCACAGCCAGCAATTCTGCTGGCTCAGGGGGCTAGGGAGACTCAGGAGCCTCCTTCCCCTCCCAACTTGCCATTTATACTCCCTGTACAGAGTGAAGGGGAAAACTACAAGCAGGTCTTTCATGGGTTCCAACACACTCTACTATCTCAGGCCATTCTGTAGATTCCCTCCAACGTAGAACAAAAATCAGGCTAGTTTTTTCCTGCAGATCAGTCTTTAAACTGTGATCTACATGTAGCTGCTTAAGTTCTTATACAGCACAAGGAGAAAGCATGGAAAGAAAGGTGTCAGGGAAGAACAGAGCCATCTTCCTCACCAGCAAAAGAGCAGTAAGTGCTAATGAGATTACAACAGTGCACAGCCACATCTTCTCCCAAATAAGTGGGAAAGCAAGACTTACCAAAAAACATCAAAAGCAAGTACCAAACTATAAAAGCTGTCAGGAAAGTTAGGCCCAGACACTGCAATATTAAAAACTAGCTACATTTTAAAACAGAAAGCTTCCACTTGTTTGCAGATTGTGTCTCCTGCTTCATTCAAATATTTGGAAAGAAGAACAGATTAAGCTACGAAGGCAGACCCAAGACCGCTTTTTGAGAAAAAGGTTATAAAAAACAAAAATACCCTGAAAAACTTTTCACAGGAACAACAGATTCATGGGAAGACATTTCTACAACATTCTTCAAATAGGTTCCTTGAGTCCATAGCAGAAATGCCTGTTATTCCAAAGGAAGAAGAAAAAAAAAAATCCAGCCAGGCCATTGAGGTGGGAATTGGATATGTGCCTGGAATCCATACAACAGATCACAGTAGAGCCCAGATCTGAGGACATAACCCTCATGTGGGTATCAACCTGCTCAGTTGCAGAAATCAGCTTGTGAAGGGTAACAACACACAGGTTGGAAGAGTTAAGAAGCCACTAATCTACATCCGGCCCTGGAGCTTGAGAAACCTGAATCTCTTGGATCATGTAGCTAAGCATCCCCATCATTGATCAAAGGATTCTTCCAGCAGCCTTTCTATCCCTCTTCTGCAAGAAAAACTTCCAGGTTTTCCCATGCTGTCAAGTGAGCAAGCTTCCTCACAGGCTGTACTGAAAGCCAAGTGCTGCTTACTGCTTTTCCAAACAACTGAAGAAACCAAGCTACTCAAAAGCAAAGCCTGACAAAACACAAAGCCTTGAATCAAGAATTCAAGAAAGATATTACACTTCTATTGGGAGCTGCTGCAGCTAAGTATTGAAAAGCAAGTGACAACCATTCAGTTTGTCTCCCAGGTATTTGATGTGAATTCCACCACTGTAGTACACAAATTTTGCAGGACTTTAAGATGTGCTTCCTAACAACCTACCTCTATAGCACAGGAGGGAACAGAAGCACAAGCAGACCTCAAGGCAGGTAAGGATGCACAGATTGTTGCCAAAGCAGAAATCCAGACACACAGCCTCAACCTACTTTACTTTTTCCCCTTCCCCAGGAAATAATTTTCAAAGAAGTCTAAGGCAGAAGAATCCAAGGGGCTTTGCTTTTTCAGAACCTAAAACTAAAGTATCAACACAGGAGACAGCAATGTCTCTAGGGTTGAAACCTGACAGAACTCTTCATGCAAACACATCAAGTTTCCCCAGGGTTAGCAGATGCCCAACCTGAACCCAGCTGAAGTTTTTTTGCCAATTCTAGCTGAGAAGTTTGGAGCTTTCAGTTACAAACTACCTGAGCTGAGACACCACAGAAGTAGAGGCAAACCAAAAAACAGCATATAGCTCTTCCTATAGAATCTGAACCTTGCATAACAAACTTCAGAGATTTACCACATCACAACAAGCACGAAGTAACTTTTTAACCCATTAGAGAAACCAGGCTCTATTTTCTAACATGCTCTCCAAGCCAGAATGCTGGTTCTATAGAACACCACAGCCATACATCTCTCTGTAGGTTGACACGAGTCTGTACAAGGCACATAACCAACAGTTACCATTTGCTGATGTGTAGGTAGGCTGGTTATCTTGGGGAATAAAAAAAAAACAGAGTCTAATACATGCTAATTTACAAAGGGATTCCCCTAACAGAGGAAATTCTCAGCTGATAACTATTCTTCTTGCCTCTACTAAGCCAAAGAGCTATTTTGAATAAGCTAACCACACACACACGGCATTGCCTGTCATTGCTTGTTTTGTGTAAACATTGCCAAGAAGATCCCAAATAGCTTTTCAGCATTTCCTACAGCAGCTGTAAGGTATCTCAAAAGCTCAGGAGGGTGAACCCAAGGCAACATCGCCTCGATACCTGCTCTCCCTTCCCTCGAAACCTTCAATCTGAGAGCTCTCCTCCCGTTCACAGGGCGGGCAGCATCCCAGAACTCAGACCCTCCAACACCCACCGTTACGTAACGAGCACACGACCAAGCCGAGCCCACGGATAACGACCGAGCAGCACCTGCTGACCCCGCCGTGAGCCCAGAGAGCAGCCGGGTCGGTACAACGAGCTCGGGTGGGGGGGTGGCTGGGGAGGCACAGGTGAGTTAGGAAATCCACACGACGCCGCACCCGGAGCATCGCCAGGGACAAAAGGCAACACGTCCTTTTCTCCCCCCTCCCAAAGACGCGGCCCCGCCAGCTCCTCAGGCCACAACACGCACC